CAGTTCTGCGGGGCTACTATTTCCTTGTTAACATGTATTTGTGGGCTTCTCTACTTGAATTCCTCTCTCCTCTTTGAAAATCATGAAAATAAAAACGTGGTTCTGTCTTCTTTCTGAGCTTCTGTCTTCTTTAATTTCCTTTTCTAGTTGGTGTTAGTTATTGTTTCGGGGAGAGGGGAGAATTTCTGATTTTCACGTTGGTGGTCACTGCCTTTCTGCCCCTCTTCACAGCAGGGCAGTCAAAGCTGATGAGAGCCTTTGAATCCACCGGTGAGTCGGCAGGAGATTGGACTCCAGGACACACCGGAGTCGGTATCTTTAGACCTTTTCTCCTAGCAAGTCAGGACTCCTAGGGAAGAATCTTCCCATTTCTGCTTTGAAGACATGGACCTGGCTGCTGGGAGCGCGGGAGGAAAGGGGCCAGTCACGTTTGTGAATGTGAACTTTTTCTTCTTTTCCTTCCACTGGGCCCTGGGCCTCCCAGTCTGGACCTTCTGGTTTACCTTCTCCAGAGGGTTGAACATGCAGTCGGCCTCCAGTTACTAATAGGGAATGGATGGCATCTGTTCACTCCCTCAAAGTAACTCTCACTTAGTTTTTTTTTTATGGCCCCGACCTTTCCTCTGTTCTCAGTTTCTGGTGCTACCAGTTCCCGAGCTTTTCTGTGACACCAAAATATGGTTACTCTGTGCTTCTCTCCTTGTTCCTTTGTCCTGTGGGGACTTTACATCTTTTATCCTTAAAATGTTATTTAGAGAGATTTAGAGGTACAGCAGGTCAACACTGGCCTTCATTCTGTTGTCTTAGCTTATTGCTTATCTTAATTTTTTAATGATGTTTTCTGTCATATAGATCTTTGTAATTTTGATACAGAAAAAGCTGTGATATTTTCTTCTATGAATTTATGTCTTATTTTACACACCCTCCCTATCTCAAGTTTATAAGATTTTCTTTTGTTTCTTTTGATAATTAAAATATTTTCACAGGTAGAGTTTCTAATCCTTCTGGAATTACTATTTAAATATGGAGTGAATATTTAAGTTTTTCTTTTCCATATGAAAATCTGGGTGCCCCAATACCATCCATTGAATGGGTCACCTTTCTCCCGTTGACTTTGCATGTCACCCCCATTACTCAAAACTTTCATTTGTGACCGACTGGCTCTCTGACCTGTCTGATCTCTTACTCTGACTTGTTTTGTTTCTTCATCACTATCACGCTTGTTTTAATTACTATCGTTATGCAATGAATTTGATACCTGGCAGAGCAAAGCCCCCTCCTGGCTTGTGCTTTTACTCAATTTGGCTATTCTGAGATATTTACTATTCCAAATGGATTTTAGAATCAGATGTCCAGGTAATTTTCTGGAGTGATACTGATTGGAATTAGTAGATCAATTTGTCGAGAACTGATATCTCTGTGATATCAGGTCTTCGTATCTATAAACAAAGCATGCTCCTCCTCATTTATTCAGGTTTCCTATTTCCATCAATATGTTAGGTTGAGCCACATGAAGTTACTATATCTGATCATTTCTGACCAATTCAAAAGAGAATTTCAAAGAATTCAATCTAGTAGTTTAAAAATATTCCAGAAAACTCTTATACATCTTTAAGTAATTCATTTATTTTTTTTTCTTACTGTTGGGAATAGAGTTTTTTCTTGTCATGTATTTTATAATTATTTACTAAAAGTGCTAAATTGATTTTTTAAAATTGATCAGAGAGCTGGCAAACTTCTGAACAATCTTGTTTATTTTAATAACTGGCTCAGAAATAGAGGGTTTTCTTATTCCTCATTTTTTGGAAGAGTTTCATAAAAGAGGAATAATCATTTTCTTGCAGGTTTAATAAAATTCACCCCTAAAATCACCTGATACAATTTTTATCTGAGTATAAATCCTCTGACTATACTTTTATAGGGAAGATTTTAAAAATTAAAAAGTTTTTATTTACTAAAGTTTTCTATTTCTAGAGTCAATTTTAAATAATTTATATTTTTGAAATGTTTATAGTCTACAAATTCATTGACATTAATTTGTTTATAATAGTGTCTTATAATCTTAACTATTGTCTCTGTTGTTACTTTATTGTTCCAAATTGTTTAATTTTTCTCCATTTTTCTAGATCAGTTTTGACAGAAGTCTAGCCACATGTCCTTTCAAAGAACTAGCTTTTATTATGCCAATTAATTTTATTCTTGATCAAATATATTTGCTTGTAATTTTCTACTTTTATTATAATTTATCTAGACTTGTCTTAATTTCCTCTAATACCTTGAGTTGAACACATAGATTATTTTTTCTCAAGTTTTCTTATTTCCTAATAAATACGAGTACATATAAAAACTTCCATTTAAATACTGCTTTATCTGCATTCTGTGAATTACTAATATGCATTTTTATGTTATTCACCTCTAAATATTTCATATTTAATCCATGAATTAATTATTGGAGTTCCTAACATTCTCTTTAAAGTTGATATCTAATTCTATTGCATTGTTATTAGAGAACGTGGTCTGAACGATAGTGAGTGTTTGTGGAATCTTCCTTTGGGACAGAGCTGTGATCAATTTCTTATAAATGTTTCAGGTGTTCTTGAGAAGACTTAATGTGTCTATTTCTTGGACACAGAGTTCTATACATCTATTACACCAAGATTGTTTATAAAGTCATACAAATATATATCTGAACTATATTTTTGTCTGTTTAAGCTTTAATTATTTATTTTAATTAATTAATTTTGGTTGCAGGGGGTGGATCTTATATTCTGTGAGTCTGGACTCATTTCTTTAGTATATTTTTTAATTGAAGTATACTTGATGCACAATATTATATTGGTTTCAAGTATACAACATGGTGATTTGATAGTTATAACCATTATTAAATCCTCACCCCAACTAGTGTAGTTACTATCTGTCAACATAGAAAGATGTTACAGAACTATTGACTATATTCTTTATGCTTAGCCTTAATTCTCTAAGAACGGTGTGTTAAAATATTCTACAGTTATTATTGATTTATTTGTTTCTCCTTGGATTGTTTCAGTGTTTGCTGTACATATTTTATGGCTCAGTTATTGAGGATTATAAGGTTTCTTAGTGGATTAGTCTTTTTATTAGTACAACATGTCTTCCTTTGTCCCTATTAATGCAATTTGCTGAGTTTTATTTAGGCAAGTATTAATTTCTCTACACCAGCTTTCTTTGGTTAGTATTTCCCTGTTACTATCTTTTTCATCCTTTTATTTTCATCTTTCCTTTCATGTCATTTTGTTCCATAAAGCTGGATTTTGTTATTGATCAATTTGAGTGTCTTTTAATTTTAATAAATGAACTTAATAGATTTGAATTCGTTTTGATTATCATAATGTTTGGACTGATTTCTACCATTTTACCTTCTCTTTCATATTGACCATGAATTCTCTTTGCTTTTTTCTTATTTCCTCTAACCAGTGAAATGCTACAATCTAACAGCTCATATCTTTTTTTCAATTATGGATAATTATGTTGGACTTTATGTCTTCAGATATGTCCTTTTTGCCATATTCACTTTTATCTTTTTCTACATTTCCTATTAAATATGTTAGAACTTTACAATCTATCCACCATCTGTCTTAATTTATCTTCCGTCTTTTCTTCTTATCTTCTCTGTGCTGTTCTTCAGCTCTGTCTTCTTGTTGGGTAATTTTCTCTTCAACTGTATTAAATTCACTGTTCATCCTTTATCTTCTCTTTTTAAAAATGTTATTGAAATGTTCAAGGTTTCCAATGGCATTTTTTGTTTACAGCTGCCTGCTTTTGCTATATAATCTATTTTCTTTGCATTGGAAGGATGCTAGTCTTTTAAAAAATCCCTATGAAAACTCAGCATGCACATTTTATAACCTTTTTCAAGTTTGTTATGTTATTTCTACCTCCTTGAGTACGAATCCTCCCGCTTGTTCTATCAGCTGCCTTCCTCTTTTGATCATGTATTTCCTCATGTGTTTATCACTTTAAGCTGAGGTCTTATCTCACACAGGAACTTTGTGTCTCATGCAAACTCCTCATTTCAGTTGCCTCATAAGGCCTCTGGGTTGAACAGAGACAAGCCAGTCTTTAGCTGGGTGCTTGCAGGCTTTATCCATGTGAGTAGGACCAGTTAGGATGTCATGCCCACGTACCACCTCGGCGAACATGCTCCCATGGCTGCCTCTCTTTTCTTTGACAATCACAGGAAAGTGTCACATTGTGACCATGTCTTAGGATTCCAAATAAAGTTAATTCAGGCTATTATGTCTAACTGATGTTTATCCCTTCTTTTCTTAGTGAAATATCCCTCTTTATCTCTGCTGATATTCTTTGTCTGGAAGTTTATTTATCTTATATGGATATAGTCAGTCCTGTGTTTTTTGTTTTTTTTTTTCACACAGAACTATTTATTGTGGAATAGATAGTTGAAATTATTTAGTAGAAATGGATCGAAGTTACAATGCTGAGGAAAAAGGATGTTTTATTATCTTGACTCGACCGTAACTTGTAATTTATAGAAGTCATATAAATGTAGGCTGATCATCTTTAGTCTCAAAAATCCAAACATAAAGCACACAAAATAAATGGAATCATAGGAAGAATCATTGTAATAATTACCCAAAGTAATATTAAGGTAACAAAATAGATGTTTGGTCTTAAATGTAAATTCAAATGTACCGGGCCTGTAACAATAGATGAGAACAAAAGTATATCTGTGATTTCTAACAGCAAAAAATAAATGAGTTTGTTAATACAATATTCTTCAGTGAAATAAGAAAGCAAATTAAGGACAAAATGTTGGACAGTCTTATCACCCAGGCCACCTTTAAGGAGAATTTTTCAGGGTAGCTAAAATGAGCAACAGTAAAGCTTTACACACACAATTGAACTGTTTGTTATTATACTAGTGCCAGTACTTTTATTTGTAGAGTTTGCAAATCAAAATGTAATTAATTATTATACATCAGGACTGGTAGGAGTACCAAATATCATTTCACAACCGCCGCTATGTGTCTCTTCTTCTCTGGCACAATGGACGCAGATCCAGGTTTGCTATGTTTGAGATGATTCACTTCCTTTCGTCGGCGAGCTTCTTTCATGATGCGCTGTTCCTGAATCTGGCTGTAGATCGATTTTAGTGGATGTCGATGACGAGAAATACGTTTTGTATGAGGATGATATTGAAATTTCTCCTTCAACTTCTGGTTGTGATCATTGGCTGCTTTTTCTCACGATGTGAGCACACCCAATTTTTCAGAAGCATTAGCTTTCCAAAGACGAACGTTCATTTCATCAGATCCACACACAATGTACTTGTTGTCAGAAGTCCATTTTACACAGATAACATGCTGCATTCTCTTTGTGTGATAGACTTCCCTGCTTCTACTTTGGTCCACAGGAAATATTCGAATAGATTTATCAAAACTAGCAGACACAAACTCCTTCCCAGTGGGAGAATAATCCCCATCAAGCACTGCAGAGACATGGTCCATATGTACCATTACGGGAGTGTCCAGGGCACGCATATCGAAAGTATACAAGTTGTAATCTTCATTTGCTGCAGTAAAAATGAAAGCTTCCAAGGGTTCCAACAAATTGTATTTGTTCTCATATTTAAGATGACCTTTTTCAGAGGAGTAGCTTGCCTCATATCATAGAGTACCATATTCCTATCAGAAGCACAACTTCCCAAGAGCAATGTCTCAATTGGGTTAAATTTAACACTACTTATACTGTCAAATCCCCAGGTCATTGAACAGATAGGACTGGTTCTTTGTTCACCCCAAATGTCTATTTGCTGTCCACATGTGACAAAAACAGCTTCTTTCCGGTGATGATCAATCCCTGTATATACTGTCTTTCCTAGTATTGTACGCAATGGTTCTTCCTCTTTTCCATAGCCTGGTCCATCCATTTTCCACTGCTTCACAGTTTTGTCATCACCCACTGTAAAAAAAAGAAGTCCCACAAAAGCGAGTACATATTCCTCGTACAAAACCTTCATGTGCTTGTCCTGTACGGATACATTTTCGTTCAGTCAAGTTCCAAATTCTAATCTCTCCATCACATGCCCCAGAGAGGACAGTAGCCAGGCTCTTCGGATGCTTTGCCAAGCAATTGACTCCATCTCGGTGACCATCCAGGGAAGCAAGGAATGGTTTTGCAAATACCCGTTCCAGTTGGGTAGCATTTAAAGCTCTCATGTATTCTCGTGGGACCTCAAAAGGATGTAAGGTCGGATCCTAGTTTCTCGGAACCTAAAACGTAGCTTTTTACTTGTCACTCTCATGCTCAAAACCTTTCAAAGGCTCCCTGTTGTGGGTAGTCTTCAAACTCTTGATTGTGTACCCCATTAATCAGAGAGTTTTTGAGCAGCTTTCTGCCTCTCTGTAAGTCCAACTTGGTTTCGCGGACATAGTTGTCCGGGTTCCGGCTCAGCATCTTCACCTCCTTCTTGCTCTGTCAGTCCTGTGTTTTTATGCTCACTCTGTGTATAGTGTATATTTTTCTATCCATTTGCAACTGTGTCTGTTTATAGTACTTCTCTGGTGAGCAGCATATATTAGAGACTGGCTTCTGTTCATGCTGTCAGTCTCTGCCTTTTAATTGTAGTGTTTTAGATCACTAACATTTAATATAATTATCCATATGGTTTGGATTTAGACCTACCACTTTATTGTTTGTTTTCTGTGTCCTTTCTCTTTTTTCACTCCTCCATTCCCCCTTCCCTGCCTTCTTTTGGATTATTTGAATACTTTTGGTATTTCTGCTATGGATCAATGTGTTCCCTCAAAATTCATATGTTGGAGCCTTACGTCCCAATGTGATAGAAGTGAGGCCAGTGGGAGACAATCAGGTCATGAAAGTGGAACCCTCAAGATGGGATTCATTGCTTATAAGGAGAGGCCCTAGAGAGATGGGCTCTCTCGGCCAAGAGAGCTGTTTGCAAACCAGAAAGAAGGCTCTCACCAGACACCAAGTCTGCTGGCACCTTGATCATGGACTTCCCAGCCTCCAGAACTGCAGGAAATAAATGTTTCTTATTTAAGCAACCATTCTGTGGTATTTTTGTTACAGAAGCCTGAATAAAATATTATAATTTATCTCTCGGATCTTTATGCCTTTCTGACTGTTTCATTATTATATACATTTTTAGTGTTTGCTGCAGGGACTATCACATACATGCCTAGCCTTTCACTGTCTACTAAAAGTCAACATTGTTTCCCTTCCTTTAATAGGTAAAAATCCTGCAATGATATAGGGCCCTTTAACCTCCCCATCCGCAGATGTCTTCTACGAGTCATCTGTCACATGCATCCCTTGTCCATATACTAAACACCCCATAAGACAATGTTATAATTATTGTTTTCAACAGTTGTATGTATTTTTAGAGAATTCAAGACAAAAATAGCCATCTATATTTACTCAGATATTGCAATTGCAATTTCTGATGTTCTTCATTCAGTTCTAAAGATCCACATTTCCTTCTGGCCCCATTTCCTTTCAGCCTGAAGAATTCCCTGGGCATTTCTTGAAGAGTCGACTTGCTGCTGTACATCAAGAGATTCTAATGGACGATTGCCAATGGAAAACAAAAATTGAAGCTAGGGATATTTCTTCTTCTGAAATGTATTAAGTGTAGAGAAAGATGCTAACCCCACTGGCATGGCTGCTTTAACATAGTGTGATCTGTTGTCTTTAGGGGACGACATATGTGAAGACGCACATGCCTTCTCCTGAAACAGGGACACTTGAAGCTCAGGCCACGCACAGCCGGTGTTCAGCAACCAGCCATCACACTGACACACGTTGTCTGAGATACGTTTTCCGATGCTACTCTGACGTGAAGAAGCGCTGACTTCTAGCTGGGGTGTTATCAGTATTTTAAAACCTAAAGGAGTTAAAAAAAGCTGAGGAAATGCCAGATTACAGGAGTCACCGAAAGACAAAGAAAGGGCTGTGAGAAAGTAGAAACCTTCATTCCTTAAGGTGGCATAAAAGACAAAATTATGGGCCCCCAAAATTAGCGTAAGACAAAGCTTAAAATATTATTCATGGCACTATCGATACCTCCCAAATATGCCCCACTTTCTCAGCCTAGGCTAGGAATGAAGAAAGAAAAGCATATATCCAAACAAAGACTGGTACAAAAATGTTTATAGCAGCTTTACTTCCAATAGCCAGAAACTGCAAATGACCCAGTTGTGCATATTGTACATCAACAGGTGGATGAATAACAAATTATGGGAAGTATATATTACATGGGATATTAATACAGAATATAATATTATCAAATATATAATACATATAATATAGAATATTCCTCAACAATGCTTTTTAGAGACAACTTTTATTTAGTTTTCCCAAAGCACTTAGTTGAGTTTTCTTAGGGAAAAAAAGCTTTTTATTCACTCTTATATTTAATAGGGGTTTAAATATTGTCTGATGAAATCATGAATAACATGACCAATGACATCATCATGAACAGATCTTGGAAGAAATATAACTAACTCCTGTTGAGCTTGGTGTTTAATAAGTAGGCATGAGAACGTGCGGGGGGACCAGGGAATGGGCTCCGAGGTACTTCTGCAGGAGGCAAGCATCAGTCAGTATGCTTGACACAAAAGAGGGTCAGCTGATCTGGCAAGCTGGCTGAGAGGTGGTCAGTTGAAAGAGCCTTTCTTATATTGCCAAACTGCCCTTCGAAAGTGGTATAGATTCACACTTTCACAATGGGATCAAGAAGGTCTTTTTCATTTCTTAAAACCACCACATGATTTTAAAACAGTTGAAAATGCACTCATTCTGCTATTTCCCTTTGCATTGCTTAGATTCCTAGCGGTCATTTTTAGGACTTGTCCACAGTGTCTGTGCAATTGGGACATGTGGCGTGTTCACAGCCGGGTAGCTGGCCTCTCCTGCACCTTCTTGGGGGTCTGCGGGCAGGGGCAGGCACAAGGACACACGTGGGAGAGGCCTGGGGGGGCTCTCCCTCTGTGACTGAGTCATTACAAAGCCCCCGAGGAGAACTCTGAACATGTGGGGATAATTTTCTTTCATTCACTTACTCTATTTAGTATAGCTGATAAAAAAAAAAAAGTCACTGTTTTAAACCTGGACTCTATTAATTCTTGAGTTCTGAACTGAAACAAAATCGAGGCCCCTCACTTGTTCTAGATTTTAGTCCCGAAGCCTGTCATTATTCTATTATTATGAGTGTTTGCGGAGGAGAGGAGAAAAAATAGGTTATAGTTATCTCACATTTTTTTCCTTATAAACCTTAATTAGAAAGGTTTCGCAGTAATGCTTCCAACTTACCTCATCCATTTTTCCCTCATAGGGCTTTTAAACTCTGCAGGGTCAGGAATGGCTTTTATGGGGCACACAAATGAAATCAAAATAAAAAGGCAGATTGAGCTGTCAGCTACTTAATACCAGTAATCCTAGTAACTTGTAGCAGCAGGTAACGATCAAGCCCCAAAACTAGCAGAGAAAGAAAAACTAGCTTCATGTCTTTCTCCAAACTTTTCAGGACCCTTGACAACAAATGATGCACCTCTCAAATATTTTCTTGAGGGCTTGTTTTCTTCCAGTCATTGAAGAATTAACAGAAATCCTGTCCTGAAGTGTGTTATTTAGATTTGTGTGCTGTGTGTAAAGGCCAGCGCTACACCGTCATCTCGTAGCATCTTGGAAGTACAATGTGTTCCCAGCCGGCCCCTGGGTAGTCTGCAGGTGTGCTCAAATGCAGTGTGCTCATCAACAGGTGAGGTCCAGTGGGACGCACAGATCAGGAGACGCTGCCCTAGTAAAGATGGTCTGCTGTTCACAGGTCTCAAGAGGAGGGGGCATGCCACGCATGGTGGGCCACACAGAGAAGCCCCAGAAGTGGTCAGGGGACAGCGGGAGAGGGAGGAGCTGTGGGCAAGAGCCTGTAGTGTGGTTTCCCTGGGAAGGAGCAGGTGAGGTGGGCGAAGTAGCCTAAAATGGGCTAGTTTGAGTAATTTCAGCAGGCTCTGCAGGGCAGGGCTGCCCCTGCTTAGTACCTGGAATCGGGTAGGGATAGTGGCCCAGAGTATGAAACCCTGATAAAGCGGATGGTTGGGTGTGGGCTCTGGGCTGGTTGGTTTGTATTTGAAAAGGAACCTGAGGCCAGTTGTTCACTGTCTCTAGGACTCACCCTGAGCGGGGCAGCCCCTGCAGGGTCAGCAAAGCCTCGGAGGTCGAAGCATCAGAATAGAGAGGTTAGAGGCACCGTTAACAGCGTGAGGCTCCCTGTTCCTGACGCCGCCCCTCTCCACGTCAGCCTGGACTGAACCAGCTCCCCAGACACAGCCAGGGTGCTGCAGGGCAGCGTGTGCACTACTGACTCAGCCTCCGGGTCTCAGACAAGGCAATGCAAGCAGCACAAGCTTTCTGTTTACTTAAGAAACTGGGAAACACAATAGCAGCTCTGGGGTATAAGTTAATTCTCCACATTTTTCATGACAATACATTTGCGCTCGGAAAGTGGAAGGTGCGTACATTAAAGTGTCATTGACCTGAATGCTTGAGATGCAATCAGAAAACCACAGTTTACACCCAGCAGCACAAAGAGGGGAGAATTTTCACATCATCTATCATTTGCTTCCGATATCAAAAGCAGTGACATCTTCTCACCACCAAATTCAAATAAAATCATAAGCATTTAGAGAAATACATTGAAATATTAACCCTGGGATTCACATGGCCCACAGTGATACATTAGATGAGGGAGAACCTCAATGCCCAGGAACTAAACCTGACGATGCTGCTTCCCCCCTCAGGCCAAATGCGTCTCCTTTGGGTCACGACCTGTTCCCAGGAGCACCGGGTGAAGCCCTGCCCTGTGCAGAGGGGAGCCGGCGTGGCAGAGGGCTGGGTGGCTGAAGTCCTGCCTCCTCAGGAGCCAGGCTACCAGGGTGGAGTGTCAACAACAGAATAAGCTCTGGGCAAATAGCCAGACTTGGGAAGCTTGAAGTGTGTATCTTGCCATTCTGTTCATGCTTATATGTGACCAGAAATGAAGAGGGACAGCACTGGAGGAACGTCCCCGGAGGAAGCAGGTAAGCTCTCCCAGGGCTGACAGGTCACCACTGCATGAAATACAGGACGGACAGGCTTGTGAACGCCAACCGGACCCAAATGCGGCTCCATAACTGTCGTTGCACAGTTGGGAGAAATGCAGAAAGAGAAATACTGGGACCAGACACACTAGGCTGCCTCACTGAGGGGGAGAAATGAGGATTGTGAACTTCCTGTATTTGCAACATCCCGATGGTGGGCTGTTCCTGAGCAAAGGAAAGGTGGAAAGCCTGACATTTTGTGTGTCGGGGGAGGGCATGGTTTCTTCCTTCGCTGAGTGATACGGTGCAGAGTCCCAACAGACAGAAGGCTAGTCTACTGAACAGAAACTGGAGAGTGATCTGATTGCCCTCCTGTCTGTGCCCTTCCCAGCAACCTGCAGAGTGCTGTTACCTTTACCGAGCGGCGGGAACAAAGGCCCGTGCAGCTTAATGGCGGACTCAAGACAGGACCCACCAAGAAAGTGAAACAGATCTCACGTCACAGTGCATATTCTTCTCACTACAGTCCCGTTGTCTTTCCGGTCATCAGTTAGCCTATTAGAAACACCATTTCACTAGGAAACCGGAGGACAGTTTCAACTGAGGTATTTAAAGCCCAACTTTTGGGGATTGAGTCTGTTCTCCTTGGTGCTGTCCCCACGGCAACAAGGGACCGAAGGGCAGAGGCACAGTCGTGAATCAGAGCTGTTATTGGGGGGCAGATTTAAAGCAAACAAAGGCAGGTTTGCTTGAATAAAGCAGAGGAAGGAAGAACAGAGGGAGGGAAGGGAAGCTCATTGAACTCCTGCTTGGCGTCGGGCACATCCGCTGCCAGCTCCAGAAGCCAGGGTCACCTGGTGTCCAGTGTGTGCTTGAATCTATGTGGCGTGGGAACTAAGTCCCCACCAACCCAGGATTTGGGGGAGCCACAGAGCCCTGGATGGAGTGAGATTGTGTTCTGAGAACTTTCCAAAGACAAAGAAAGGAGATTTTCAGGCAGGCTGCTGAGGAGCGTGATGGGACAGCTGCAGTTCTGTCTGGGTCACCCAGGCGATGGAACTTGCAAGTCCCAGATCAGAGCTCTCAGCAGCCCCTCCCTACTTATCTGAAGTAGGACAGAGAGAGTGACACACTCGAAGAGGGGCACGTGTGGGCAACCTCAGAGAGGAGGTGGGCTTAAGGGTTTAGGGTCTGGGGTTTTATAGGGTCTTTTGGGTAAGGCTCAGCATAAGACATGATGTATACAGGTGATTTATAATTTCTTTGAAGTTTTGTCTTGAGAATAGGGTTATTTGAGTGCCTGGGTTGGCCTGGACCTCTGCATTCTTTGTCCACAGAGGTTGATTTACCCTTCCAGTGTCTGTCTTCTGACCTGGTTACACAGTTGCTTGATTCAGGGGCTGGAGGAAGAGGAGAACAGCATATAGGTTAAGTTAAAGGATATGCTGGGCCTTTTTTGCAAGCCAAGTAAAGTCTACATGGCATGATCTAACTGATGCAATGCAGACATGGGCTGCACTCAGGTACTTTCATTGGGGAATATCTGGACATTCCAATTGGCTCCTGGCCTTTGGAGCTTCAACTGATTCACTAACTCTGTGAGTCTCTTCTGGCTCTCTAGTTTTATCTGGTTACCTCTCTGAGTTCCTTTTAGTGGGCTTTACTGCCTTATTCTCCACCTGCTCATATCTATTTTTCTGCCTAACACAACCAAAGCATACTGAGAAAATATCTCAGAACTTATGAAGTAATTTTTATGCTGGTGAAAGAACAGGACCTAAGAAAGAAACACTTAACAAGAAATGAGGGATTTGGCAACTTTTGTTACCAAAGGATTAAAAATACTTATGGAGGATTAAAATATACCAAATAGAATGCAAACTCAGACAGTTGTTTGAATAAAGGCTCTCTTTATATAATAATATGACAGTGATGATTTAGCTTTAAATTTTCATTCCAACCCAGTTCTCAATCCTCTTTACAAAAAGCAAGAGATTTCCCAGTGAAGACCATTATTGATCATAAAGTTGATGGGCTCTTTTCTTGATCTCTGGTTTTATGAAACAGTGGACAGAATGACAAAATATTTCAAGGGTGAGTTTACAAATTCCTTTTGCGTTTTTCCTTTCTTCGAATATCTTTGTTTCAGCCACAGATATTATTTTTGTGATACCCTTCCTATCTTCAAGTGACTGTAGATTCTATGAAAATTTTATAAGAATTTAAGAAAAAACACGACAGTACATAATCATGGAAAAGGGAGGCATGAGTAGTGGGTCAGAGACAAATTTTGAGATGCAGACCACAATGTAACTCCTCTCGCCCAGCCTCCCCCAGCCTCCCCCAGCCTCACCACAGGTAAGCAACCCTGTCCTCTTAGGGCACAATTAGAAATCCTAATATAAAAGGAAAAACATGACTTCAAAATGTTTTCTATGTTCTATCATTTTTCCCCTGCAAATTTTGAGGATTTAATTCTGGCAGGAACATAATGAAAAGAACTGACCATGGCTGGACACATCCGAGAAATACATTTTGCAGAATCCAGTTATCACAGAGATTACGTGACTCAATTCTTATGAGTCAGTCATCTCATTTATTTAAAAAATTTTCTAAACTGGCATGTTTATTCACCTTATTTTCACTCAAAAGCTACCCTGAAACTCCAAAATGTAAAGCACTCACATTATCATGTATGATTTCATGTTCAAAATATGAAATAGTCTTGAGATTTAGTGCCAAAAAAAGAAAACTGGTAAAAGTTAGGCAGTGAACAAAGATACTAGCATAGAATGCAGACTCAAACCTAGAGAAAATCTGTGATGGTTCAAAAATACATTATTTATAAATACTATACTTAAAAAAAAATTCTCTTGTTTTGTTTTTGAAGCCAGTCTGCCAAGAGCTCAGAAAATGGAGAAAGTTGGTAAATGAAGGCTGTAAGAAAGGGGTCCTTAAAAAGATAAGGTTAAAATTGGGGGGAGAAAATACACACTCAGTGTCAAGGAAGATGCATCTTTAGATTATTATAAAATGTTAGCAGAATGGTTAGAGGCTTTTGTAACTTAAATAAATCTCCAGGCAGTATGTTGTAAGAAACCATGCTATTCTGGCACTTACAAGGCCCAGAGGATCTGTTAAGTCTTTGCACCATTTAACTTCTCTAATACCATGATGTGCAGGTGTGTAAAATCCTTATATAAACTTCTGGGCATTGCCGGGTATTCTGAAAGAAGGAAGGGAGAGGAGGAATCCCACTGATCTTAAGGAAACTCATGTCTGCACATATTTCAACACGAAAGCAATTTCTAGCGTTGTGCCAAAATGGATTAGGTTTTAGTTGCATCTATAAATTCTCTGAAAAGCCTGAGGATTATAGTGGTTTATAGTCATTTAAAATTACTGAGAGTGCAAACAGACTGGAGAAAAGGTAGATGGCCCTGGAAAAATGGTCCTTAGCCACCACAGCCCCTGGAGCTCTGAGTCAGTCCCTCTGGTCGGGCAGGGGATGGAACCGGACAGTGCATTGGTTGTAAATTAGTCTTATGTTATTGCATACACAGATCTTGGTCTCAGGTGCATTTTGTCTGCATTTATAGAAGAAAGACATCATTATCTGAAACACTGTGTATGGCAAATCAAGATCTAAATGTAATCTAAGTGCATTTTTTGGTCACATAAATAAAAGTAATCAGATTCCCCCTAATGCCCCAGATCGTTCGGAGCTCTCCAAGAAGAGGGTTTCGTCCATTTCAAGGCTGGGCTTCAGCCTGCTGTCTCCTTGCTGATCCTCCTGCCGTCAGCCAAACGGAAATCACTTCTGCATCTAACAGCTCAGTATTTGGGCTTATTCTTCTAAGGTCATCAGGCTATTGGTAAACTCTTTAACTGTCTCAACATTGAGCTTTTGAAAATTAGCTTTACATCACCTATCACCAGTGATTACAAGGGAGCAGAGACGGGGCCTGGCCTGACCTCAGGTCAGCGTCAGAGCTGTAGGGGGTCAGGTCAGGCCAATGGCCCCGCAGACTCTAATCCCAGAGGGTTATTTTTTCCAGCCAGTTCTATGATATTAGTTTGGATAGATCTTAGGTTCTTTCATCTATCTTTTTAAAGTGGATTTTGGGGATTTAAAGACAAAAGAAGATAAGTTCTTGAATTGTATTGGGGTAATACCGATGGACACGGCTAAATAGATCAGAATTCCAAGCAGAAGTCTTTTTTTCCAAGTGCCAAATTTTTAAACAATGACATGCATGTTTTAAGAGTTTGTCCCATGGCTCTAAAATCAGGTGAACAAATGCATTTCATGACCCTCTAAAATTGTACTTAAAATTTTGTGCATATTAAGTATGTGCAATTTTTATCAGAAACTCAGACTTATTTTGCTCAAAAAAGGGGTCAGAAGTACCTCTCTGAGGGAATATTTGCTTCCAAAACAAATAAAAATATCATTAAAATAGCTCAGTTCTGCAAATAATAACTGTCATCTCTTTGCCAGATACTTCGCTACTCAGTGGAGGTACAAACAAGACTATGAGAAAGACAATAGTACCCTTTATTAAATTCCTACTGTGTGTCACCCCCAGGCCCATGGACTTCCTTATACTGACCTCCTTTGGTGCTCAAAGTCTTAGGGATTAATTATAATTATATGGAATTTTCAGACGTGGAAATCACCTTCCCAAAGTCATAAACTATTAAGAGATGGAATGAGGATTCAAAATTCACTTGATCTGAATTGTCTGTGCTTGCTCGGTCCTGGCTGCCTCCCCGATGATATAACACAGGGCAGAGTGAATAGACTAAGGGCTAAATAATGCAAGCAGCACGTTCCCTCTAAAAAGATCCCTTTTTGGTCTACTCCTTACATCTCTGCCTTTCCCACCCTCGTGGCCATCAGCACAGCTTTCCCCTGGACACAGGCAGCAGTGTTGTAAGTGGTTTCCCTGCTTCCACCCCTGCTGGTCTAGTGCAGTTCTCTACATGGCAGCCAGGGTGATCTTTCTAACTGATGATGTCACTTTCTGGCTTAAAACCTGCAGTGGGTTCCTAGTGAAGACGGCTGTGATCATTTCCTGGATGCAGTATCACCCTTAGACCTGGGCAAGTGGGGATTTTCAGGGGACCCCTTTCCTTTGGGCTGCCTTCCTTGCAATTTTCTAAGACCCTTCAAGGCCCTGAGATCAGTGGCGGGGGGGGATGGGGGTTCAAAAGAGACGTCCGGGTGGGGCACCCCTGATGCAGAGACCTGTGTGGGCACAGTCCTGGTTCCTCCCCTTGGGGGTACTCCCCACAATGCCCGCAAGATTATCCTGGGGATCTGGTGAGAGGATCCGCCACCGGCCAGTACGGTAGTTCTTTTGAGAGACCGTGCAAGACAGCGCTGCCAGAACGGGGCTGGCATGCTGATTCAGGGTGCCGCTCTCACGGGGGTAACGTGGCCGTGGGGGGTGGATGGCGTCACGGCAGCTGGTGCCTGTATGTAAGCAGGAAGAGGCGCCTCTTCCTCCCGGGTGGCAACCCCACCAGGCTGCACAAAGCCCAACTTTTCCATGACCCGTGGCCCTGCTTTGGAGGGCAGGGAGTTTCCACTGAGAGAAGGAAGATGAAATTTCCACTTTAGGGAAGACTAAGGGTGTGGAAAGTATTTTGTTTAGCACTAATTCTGTTTCCTTCCCTTGTAGTGACACAGTCTCCTTATCTAGTTGCACTCAAGTCAGACTTTTATCAAGTCTGGAGCTTGTAAATATTTTTCCACCCATATGGCTCATTTTAGGGCTGGAGCCCAGGCTTTGTTTTCTTCACACTCCACGTATCCTTCCTGGCTTGATTCCTCAGCTTGCCCGGCTTCACTTCCAACTTATCCACCGAGGGCTCCCAATGTGTATATCCAGCCCATGCAGACCTCTCTCCTGGGCTCCAGATTTGTCTATCCCATCTCCATGTAGCTTTGTTGCATACAGATTTCTGATTTTAATGACTTCATTATATTTTTCTGTATTTTCTAAATTTTCTGTAAGGAGCATGTATTTTCTATGATAATCGTAAAAATAATGTTATTAACTGAAAAATAAAACAGGCATGAGAGATGTTTGCTACCCTTTACTGTGTGGCTGCCACTCTACAACAGCCACAGCTAATGTGTTGTGTTTATTCTGGGATTCAATGCCCTCTGCATCCTCTGCACTGGTAGAAGGTGGGCATTTTTATCTTCATGCAACAAAAGAAGAAACCAAGGCTCAGAAAAGTCATGGTTCCACAGCTAACAAATTACAAGCTTGAACTGGACCCTAGAACTGTCTGGCTTCAAAGGCTTGGCTCTTTCCAATGCATGTCCCTCTGCCAGCAACAGTGCAGACTCGGTGCGGAGAAAACAAGAACAAAGTAAAAAGAACAT